TCTGCGCCATGGTAAGGGATGGGAGGGAGGGGTAGGATGTCAGATATGACGCGAGCGCACCTAGCTTGTCCTCCTCCCCTCCTCCTCCTCCTCCTCCTCCTCCTCCTCCTCCTCCTCCTCCTCCTCCTCCTCCTCATCCTTCTCCTCCTCCTCCTCCTCCTCCTCCTCCTCCTCCTCCTCCTCCTCCTCCTAGTACGGCTTGGAAAGCGCCGCGGACGGCCCAGGATGGCCAGAGGAACGGCCCGGGATGAAAACCTGGTGCCGGGGACAGGGTCGAGAGGTCTGGGGACAAAGTCGAGAGGGACAACATCGATTCGACAGCCAGACAGGCGTCGCGCAGGGAGCTGGCTGGTGGCGCCGTTGAGATCTGGTCGAGCTTGCCCTTCCTGTCCAACCAGATGTCCACCTCGCTGGTGCGATACGACCAGAAGAACCCACTTTCTGCTCCACCACCCGGGCCGTTTTCTTGACGCGACGCTGCGCTAAACCTGATCACAAGCATGACCACGTTGCTCGGGCCCAGTGCCTTTGTCTGCCTGCATGTCGGAGCATGTTTCCGTCCCTATCGCCACGTTCCATCGGCGGCATGTGTACATAGATATGTATGACTACACACGTGTGATGTCTTGCTAATGCGCGTGTGTTCATACGTACACGTGCACATGTGAAGAGAGAAGAGAGAGAGAGAGAGATAAACAACAAATGAGCACCTGTAATCAACGTTCAAACAAGTAGCACTTTATGTACATCTAAGGTAAGAGAGAGGGAGGGGGGGGAGAGAGACAGAGAGAGAGAGAGAGCGAAAGAGAGGGAAGAGAAAGAGAGAGAGAGAGAGGAACAACAAAGAAGCACCTAGAATCAACATTCGAATAAGTAGCAAATCATGTGCATCTAGGGTAAGTGAGAGGGATGGGGGGAAGAGAGACAGAAAGAGAAAGAGAGGGAAGATAAAGGGAGAGAGAGAGAGCGAGAGAGAAAACAAAGAGAGAGAGAGAGGAAAGAGAGAGAGAGAGAGATCTAGAGAAAGAGAGAGAGAGAGAGAGACAGACAGCGAGAGAGAGAGAGAGAGAAACAAAACCAAGAGATAGAGAAAGACAGAGAGAGAGAGAGAGAGACAGAGCAACAATAAAAAGAAGAGAGAGCGAGACAGTGGAGAAAATGCACCGGTAAAGAGCGAGCATCACCGCGGACGAGCGGACCCACGCGGGGCCGACAACGGAGCGCGCCCAAGGAGAGCGCTCGCGAGCGAGACGCTGGAGGAGGACGAGCGAATCCTTGCAAAGCCCGTCCTTTCCCCCCCACTCAAGACGAAGCCAGGGCGAGGATAAACTCGGGTGAGGATAAGTCGGGAATCTCTGAGATCCGGCGGCTTTGAAGGACGTCTCGGGCGCCGCGGCCTCCTCAGAGCGTTCTGGAACGCTCTGGGAGCGTTCAGGAACACTCTGGAACGGACGTATCCTCGTCCGACCCTCCTCCGCCTTCCCCCCAATCAACCAGTCCCCGAGGCGCCATACTGGACAGTTGTTTAGCTGCGCTCGACCGTGGCCACGAGAGCCGCCCGGGAGACCCAGAGTATGAAAACCATGCTGGGGTCCTATCCTGTCTCGAACTCCTCCTCTTCTTCCTCCTCCTCCTTCTCCAAGTTCTCCTCCTCCTCCTCCGCTTCCTCCTCCTCGTCGTCATCATCGGCAGCAGCAGAAGCATCAGCATCAACATCAGCAGCATCATCGACATTACCAGCACCATCATCATCAGCAGCAGCAGCATCATCACCATCAACATCACCACCATCATCATCATGTGTAGCATGCTCATCTGACTCATCAGCATCACCATCATCAGCAGCATCAGCATCGTAAACATCATCAGCAGCAGGAGCAGCATCAGCATCATCATCACCATCATGATCATCTTCAACACCACTCTTTACACCACCACCATCACCATCGCCATCGTCATCACCATCACCACCATCGTCATCATCACTCTGATACTCCTCATCATCGTCACTCTCCTCCTCATCATCGGCGCCGCCATCATGAACAGCATCGCCCTCTGGCTCATGCTCGCCACTGGCCTCCCTTGACATCCTGCCCTGCGGAGCGCGACGCCACGGCGCCGCATGCCCTGAGAGAGAGGGAGAGAGAGAGAGAGAGACACGGCGCACGAGAGGGAGCCTCGACGGCGGCCACGCCCAGAGAAGACTCTGGAGCTACGCACCTTCCCAAACATCCAGCGTCTCTGCCAAAACAAGAGCCTGATTTTAAGATTCGGGCAAGTTTGTACTTGCATGGCGCTCGCCCCCCCCCCCCCCCACCCACCCACCCCTCGCCCCTCTTCAGACGAAGAATAGCGTGCAAGTGCCCTTCGACTTGCGTGACGCCCGCACGTGCAAGTCGCTTGCGGCTTGCTTCAGGCTCAGGCCCCCCCCCGCAAGTAGACTTGCCAGGGTCTAAACAAGAAAGGCTCCGAGACGGTGGCTCGTCGTCGCCTTCGGGTCCGCACGGGGCCCTCACGGGGCCCCCGCCCTGGGCACCGTCAGCAACAGCTCGGGCTGCAGCTCGGGCCCGGTGGCAAGCGTCGGGGCGTCGAGGGGGCCCTGCATAGAAAACACTCGGAACATCGGGCGTCCGGCTTCTGGCGGAGAAGGCGCTCCTTTGCAAGTAGTTACGTCGGCTGCGGCACCGCCTGTTTCCGAGGCTTTGCCTCCTCCCAGCCTCGTTCTGAGGCTGCGCTCCCCTTTTCCTCCCCCCTCTCTGCCTAATTCAAGCTTCGCGCGGCCCGCTTAGCTCCGACCGGAAGAGGTGCGCTCTCGACCCGCGGATCAAAAAAGGGTGTCTGGCTTCTGGCACGGCGGGCCCGCCCACTTGGGGCCAGAGCAGATGAGGCCGCGACGATCGACGATGCAGCGGTGACGTGGGGGCCCGCCCACTCGGGGCCAGAGTAGATGAGGTCGCGACGATCGACGATGCAGCGGTGACGTCGTGGTGGACAGGGAAACGCTCCGCCTCGCGACGGCATCACGCAACCGACGCATCCGCGATGCGGCGCGATCTTCCGACCCGTCGTATGACCTGGCCACATGACGCACGTGCCCACTCGTGTACATGAGCACGGCCCCTCGCTCCGCGAGACCGGCCGCATGATACGAGCATTGGCGCAATGCGCACTCTCGGAACCAACCCTGAGATCCGACGTCGCGAAAAAGTTGAGACATCGTGGAAAATCCCGACTGGAACCCTGGACCACATCTTTCTGCGCCACTTTTCGAGCCGGATCGACCTGTGAGGTTCCTGGGGCCCGCAACTGGGGGAAAACGTCTGGCTTGAAAAAAATCGAGTCGCCAGGATCTCGGGGAACGTGGATTCATGCACGTGTACCCCGACATCCAGCTGCTCCAAACTTCTTGATACATGGGCCTCAGAATTCTGGACCACTTCTCGCAGGCCGGCTTTTCTCGTCCTGACTCGTTTGTGGACGCTCCCGAAACCCAGCGAGGGCCCCCAGAGGCGGAAAACTGCCAAAAACCGCCTGCTCTAATTGTTTTGGAGCGTCGGATCTCAGGGTACGCTTAAGTCGGGCGTGTCCCCCCACAGGGGGATGTTGGGCGAAAACAAAGTACTCGAAACATGCCCCCCCACATGGGCAAAAACAGTCTGAAAGATCGTCCCCAGACTATGTTTTGACCATTCCTGAACACTCCTCCTGTAGAGGGACAGACCCGACTGAAGGGCACGTCCTGCTTTCGCTCCCTTTCCGTGGGCGGCCGGGGCACGGAAGCCCGCCGAGGCGAAGCACACCCGCCTTGGCCCAGCGCGCCCGCGCCGCCTCTGGCGGTGGCCCCGCCTCCCTCCAGGCCTCGGACAAAAATAGCGAACAATCATGCCACATGCATCTGTGAACGCCTCCCCCTCCCCCCAGTGTTCAAAGTTGGCGGTGGGTCTGATGAGCTGCACCTCGGCCGCAGTCTCCCCCCGCGCGTGCCAACCTTGAGTTTGGGGGGGCAGGGGGGATGTTCACTAATCGGTTCCCTCTACCGCCGCGCCCTCTCGGGGCGCGGGCGAGCCGTGAGGTCCGACGCTCCAGGAAAAACTGTCCCTCTGCAGGAGGGATGCTCAAAAATGGTCCAAAAAATAGTCCAGGGACGAATTGCCTGACAAGTGTTGCCCATTGGGGGGGGGTACTTGTCGAATATGTCTCCAAACTCCCCCTGGAAGGGGGCACGCCCGACGTAAACGTACCCCGAGATCCGACGCTCCCAAACCGTGAAAAACGGAGCAGGCGGCGTTCGGCAGTCTTCGGCCTTTTGGGGGGGGCCCTCGCCGGGCTTCGCGGGGCCCACCCCTCGACCAATCTTGGAGCAGCTGGATGTCTGGGAGCGGGGGGGGGCGATCCGCGGGGGCTGGGGGGGAAGGAGAGGCAGCCCAGCCCAAAATCGAATCGATGAGCAGGATCGGCGATCGAAGGATTGCAACAAAAAACCCAAGGATTGCAAAAAAACCCAAGGTTTTTTTGCAATCCTTGGGTTTTTTTGCAATCCTTCGTGAGTCGGATCGGCAGAACTCGGCAGCCGAGTCGGGAGGAGTCGGCTCGGCAGCAACCGGCAGGCCGGTGGGCCTCCCCGGAGGAATCTCGGCACCCAGCTCGGAAGCCGAAGCCGCAGCCGAGCCGTGATCGGAGGCCCTCGGAGTCGAAGTCGAAGTCGAATCGAAGGGCTCGAGAGGAGCCCTGGGAAGAGGCGCCCTTCTTGGGCCCCAGGGGCTCATCCCGGGGTAACTCGGGTCCGGGGTAACTCGGGTCCGGGGTAACTCGGGTCCCGAGGTTGGGCGCCCGAGTTATCCGGGGTAACTCGGGTAGGGGCGGGGTAACTCGGGTCAGGGGTAACTCGGGTTCGTTTTTTGGGAATCCGAACCCGACTTACCTCGGACCCGAGTTACCCCGGATAACTCGGGCGTCCAGAGCCCCACATCATCAGGCGTAACTCGGGTCAGGGCTAACTCGGGTTCCTTTTTCGGGAATCCGAACCCGAGTTACCCCGGACCCGAGTTACCCCGGATAAATCGTGCGTCCAGAGCCCCACATCATCAGGGGTAACTCGGGTCAGGGCTAACTCGGGTTCCTTTGTTCGGGAATCCGAACCCGAGTTACGGGGCTCTGAAGAGGCGCCCTTCTTGGGCCCCAGGGGCTCATCCCTGGGCTCTCCAGGGCCCCACGCGGGGGCCCCAAGAGGGCCCCCTCTCGGCCGCCGCCGCTGCCCCCCCCCCCCCCTGCTCTCGCCCCCCCCCGTGTGCGCGTCCTCCGGCCCCTCCCGCCCGCCCGCCCGCCTGTCCGGCTTCTTCCCTGATCATGTAGTGCTCGCTGCGGAAGCCGACGACGTCGCAGAGGTCCTCCGAGTTCGTCCGGAGAGCCCCCGAGTGGCAGCTCATCTGGGAGGCTTGGCGGGACTGCGGGGGCGGGGGGCCCGCGCGCGCGGGCGCGCGCAGGGCACGTTGAAGACAGGCGGGGACTGTCTCGGCCACCCCGCCCCATCAGAGAGACAGCCAGAGGCCTACCCGCACTCGATGGCGCACCCTCCTGGACCTGCTCTGGTTGGGAACTTCTGCTTACTTGGCGTGTCGCGGCGGCGGCCCCGCCAGCACGTTGTGCCCTGCGAGCGGATAGCGTGTCGCTCTGCTCGCCGCGGGGCTGGAGGCTGGGAAAGGCTCAGGACACTGACGCTCGGGGACTGGGAAGTGATTAGCGTGTCGCGCCGAAGCGTGCTGGGCCAGAATAGGCGGCACGACACGCTAAGCACAATTTTCGACCGTAGTATCCACGGAGATCATGGGAGGTCAGAACATCCAGGAAATCCTGGCGAACCCCGCATCATCGGAGAGACAGCCAGACGCCCAGCCACCCTCGATGGCGCACCCTCCTGAATCTAGTGCCCACGGAGGTCAGAACATCCAGCACTAGGAGAAAAAACGAATGCAGATGCAAGAACTTTTGAGGCCCGCGCGATGTCTTGGATCCGCGCCGGAACCCCCTCCTGAGCGCGCGGGGCGCGCCAGGGGCGGCGCCGGAGGCGCCGCCAGGGGGGCCCAGCGCCGATCCAAAGATCCGCGAGGAACTCTGAGAGTGTACAGTCGGGGCCCTTCCACAAGAAACCTTCCACAAGAAACCCGACCACGAGACCCCAGGACGTCCACAGATTTTTGGTGTGGAGACGCCACGCTTTTCCAAGGCAGAACCATCGAAGCCCAAGAAACCCAGGGCACCCTGGAGGCAAAAACAGGGTGCTTCTTGGCGCATGGGTCTCGGCACGGCGGGGAAGGGAGGGGAGGCGGAGGGCGGGGGAGGGGGGTCGGGGGAGGGGGGGGGGGGGGGGGAGGGGGGAGGGGAGGGCGGGGGAAGGGAAGGGAGGCGGAGGGCGGAGGGGAGGGGGGCGGGGGGCGGGGGCGGGCGCGCGCCCGAGCGCGAGGCCGCGACTTCGCGCGTGCATCGGGCGCCCCCAGGCCCCTCGGCCAGGCGCCCACGGACTGCCTCAGAGAACCACCCCCGGGGCTGCTCGCCGGCTATGCACGGCGCACCCTGCCGGGCCGGAGGTCAGCGCCTGCTGCGACCCCGGAGCCTCGGAACTCGAGCCTCGCACCTCGACGGGCGGGGAGGCGAAGGTGGGCCCCGCGATCACACGCTTGTCTGCTCCTCCCCTCCCCTTCCCCGCCCCTTCCCTTCCCGTCCCTCCCTTTCCCCCTTCCGTTCCCCTCCCCTTCCCCGCCCCCTCCTCTCCCCTCTCCATTCCCTCTCCTCATCTCCCCTCCCCTCACCTTCTCATCTCCCGCCGCTGTCCTCCTCCTCCTCCTCCTCCTCCTCCTCCTCCTCCTCCAGAAGATTCAGGGAACGGGCGGAAGGGGCGTATGACAAACGATCGAAACCACTAATAACACCCTCCCTCCTCTCTTCACCTCTCCCCAAACCCTGCTCAGGACCAACCCCAGATCCCTCCGGGGGTTCATGCTGGCCGCTTCTCGCGCTGCGGTCTGCCGTGGCCACGAGAGCCGCCCAGAAGGACCATAAAGGAGCACAAACGTCGAAACCCTGTCCAGAGCTCCTCCTCCTCTTTCTTCTCCTCCTACACCTCCTTCTTCTCATCCTCATCATCATCAGCAGCGTCATCAGCATCAGCATCGTCATCGTCATCGTCATCGTCATCGTCATCGCCATCATCATCATCATCATCATCGTCATCATCATCATCATCATCATCATCATCATCATCATCATCATCATCATCATCATCATCATCATCATCATCATCATCATCATCATCATCGCCATCGCCATCGCCATCGTCATCGACATCATCATCATCAGCATCATCATCAACATAATCATCAGGTTCATCCTCATCCTCCTCATTATCCCCACCATCACCATCACCATCACCATCACCATCACCATCACCATCACCATCACCATCACCATCACCATCAGCAGCATCACCATCATCATCATCATCATCATCATCATCATCATCATCATCATCATCATCATCATCGTCATCAGCATCGTCGTCAGCATCGTCGTCATCGGCATCGCCATCGTCACCAGCATCAGCAGCATCATCGACATCATCACCGACATCATCACACCACCACCAGCACCACCATGATCATCAGCAGCATCATCGTCATACTCAGCATCATCAGCATCACCACCGTAGGTATCATCATCATAATCAGCATCATCATCAGCATCATCACCATCAGCATCATCATCATCGTCGTCATCGTAATCGTAGTAATTAGCATCGTCGTCATGATCAGCACTATCATCATCATAATCATCAGCAGCATCATCACCATCATCATCATCATCATGGTCATCATCATCATCACACTTATCCTCATGGTCACCATCACAACCACCACCATTTGTATCATCATCATCAGCAGCATGATCATCATCATACTCATCATCATCATCATCATCATCATCATCATCATCATCATCATCATCATCCCCGTCTTCATCGTCGTCATCGCCTTCGTCGTCGTCAGCTTCACCAACATCAACATCGTCTTTCTCATCAACCGCATCACCGACAACATCAACATAACCGCCACCATCCATTGTCAGCAGCATCAACTTTAGCATCCTCGTCGTCATCGTCGTCAACGACAGAAACATCATCAACGTTATCATCACCACCACCAGCACCAGTGCCACCGCCATCATCGCCATACATCTTCATCATGACCCTCCTTGCCATCCTTCTCATCCGCATCCTCATCATCATGAGCAACCTCATCATGATCGGCATCCTCGTCGTCGTTGTCGTCATCGTCATTGTTACCGTCATTATCCTCATCATCCGCACCGTCATCATCCTCATCATGATCCTCAACATTACCAGCGCCATCCCTAGGGGAAGGAAAACTTACATAAACATAAAAACTCAGAAGCCCGCGCAGATTTCTCGGATCGGCGCTGGACCCCCCTCCCCGGCGCGCGGAGCGCGCCAGGGGCGGCGCAGGGGGCGCCGCCAGGGGGCCCCGGCGCCGATCCGAGAAATCCACGCGGACCTCCGAGTTTTGATGTTCATGCCACTTTTTGTTCCCCTGATCCCTCCATGCATCCATCTCTCCTCCCCAGTTATCGGGAGCGGGAAAGAGGGGGGTGTTCAAGAGGGGGGGGCGCAAATCATGACCGGCGGCATGTGCGCGGCCCAGCGGGGGGACCAGGGACGCAATGAAACAAGAAGAGGCGCCACGAGATCTGGGGAGATATCATGGCCCGCGCCATGATATCCACCCCCCCCCCCTGGTCATCACCCCCCTCTTTTCCGCCCCCGAAGTCAGGAGGAAAGGGGGGGCGCAGCCAGGCTGTTGTCGGTGGCCATGGTGGAGAGCCGGGCCGCCTTCTTCTGGACGTTGAACTGCTCCTTGAGCACCTTCTTGCCTGGGCGGCACGGGCCGAGGTCGTCGCCGCCGTCCTCCTCCTCGTCGCCCTCGTCGCCCTCCTCGAGGGGCGAGGAGGATAAGCCCTCGTCGCCCTCGTCGCCCTCCTCGCCCTCCTCGTCGCCCTCGTCGCCCTCCTCGAGCAGCAGCAGGCAGGGGGGGACGAAGGGAGGGTGAAGAAGAAAAGGGAGGAAATAAAGGCAGGAAGGAGAAGAAGAGGAGCGTGAAAGATGCAGGAGGGTTTCAAGTCGTCCTGGAAGACACGGTTGCTTTCTGAGCACATTCGCGACTGGAGCAGTGAAGTGAATGGCTGTGGTGGAAGGAAACGACGCTACCTTGCGTCAGGGAAGAGAGAGAACGAGGCGAGGCAGGAGGCCAGGTCAGGGCAGAGAGCTCCTGGAAGCCAACTTCTCACACCAGCCGTGCCACCAGGAGACTTCTGAGCGCTCGTCTCCGCAACAAGTCGTCCTCGATGTGGAGAAGCCGCTGCCGAGCCCGCTGTGCCCCCTCGAGCCGTGCTCGCGCCGCCCCTCCGGGGCGATGCGCCCCTCAGGCGCGCGGCCTTAGCGGGCCCCCCCTTGGGGACCTGCGCCTCACGATCCCGCACCCGTTTGGTTGGCCACAGGTGACTACCTACCAGACCAACCCAACCCAACCCGAAGACCCGAATTTCGGGTTGGGGGGGGTATGGGCTCCATATGTGTTTTTTCGATGTTCCCGGACCCCCCCCACTGGAAATGGAGGGCAAAATGAGGCCTTCGGGTTGGGTTGGGGTGGTTTGGTGGGTGGTGAACAGGGGGGTCCAGCTGAAAGGGTGTGGTGCAACATGTTTGGGGCAAGAGAACTGCAAATCTGTGGCGCCAGAGAATCGTACTGCAATGTGTTGCATCAAACGCGTGGCACGCGGAGATCCAGCAGTACGCTTGCGCACAGGAATCGGTTGCAAGCCCCAGATCTGGCAGCCCCACAGATCTATTTTGCGTCAAGCAGGATCCGATCCACCCGCAGGACCACCCCCGTCGCCCCACTGCCGGCAGGGCGGCGCTCGACCTCGGCCTCTCGCCGCGCGCCCGCGCGCCAGGCGTGCCGCGGGAGCGCGGGCCACTGCCGCCCAGCACGCGCTCACTCACTGCGACCGTCTCTCCAGCGAGGGCTTCTACACCGACCGAGACGTCGTCGTCGTCCTCCACGTCTTCCTCGTTCTCGTCGCCGTCCTCCTCATCCTTGTTATTCTCCTCGTCCTTATGCTCCTCCTCCTCCTCTTCCTTCTTATCCCTCTTTCGCTCTCCCACTCTCTCTCTCTCTCTCTCTCTTCCTGTCCCTCTCTCTCGGAGGCAATAGTGGGCTCTGCAGAGCCCGTCCGATTTGTTCCCTTTTACTCTTCGGGAGATCACGGTTAGCAGGAGCGAGGAAGACACTGGGGACACTCCACTCTGGAGAGAAAGAGAAACATGAGACGCGAAACCACGAGGCTGGGCAACACTCCCCGGCTGTATGACACTGGGTGGCAACACTTCCCACCCCACGCGTTCCGCCAGTCGAGGAGGATGAGGAGGAGGAGGAGGAGGAGGAGGAGGAGGAGGAGGAGGGGGAAGGGGAGGATGAGGAGGAGGAAGACGGCGACGAGCTGGGGGCAGGAGGCGGGAAGAGGAGGGGGATGTTGAAAAAGGAGGGTGATGGCATCACCTTGTCGGAGCGATGGACAGGGATGGAAGACAGGCGGAGAAAACGTAGAGCATGCTCAATGAATGTGATCGGAGATCTCTGGGGGGTATGGGTCTCTGGGGGGCACGCACACATTCAGCCGTACTAATACAACCATGTGCTACATACGCAACATAAAAGACATGAACATGTTAATTCGCGCTTGGGCCGACTGCCTATGTCGTGGTTGCCCGACACAGGCCCAAGAGCGCCCAGGCTGGCCCAAGAGGGTCACCCTATGGACTCTCAGCCCCAAGACGGCCTAAGAGCGCGCCAGGACGGCCCAAGAGGGCGCGTCCAGGACACCCAAGATGCCCCCAAAAAACAGACACCTCGGATGCCTGCCCGCCTTCTCGACTGCAAGAAACCGGGGAGACATAAGACTCGGGTTCGGGTTCGGGGTCGGGGGACTCGGGTTGGCCCGACGGGGCCATCATGAAAATGACGAGACCCCACCTGAACTTCGACGCGAGCTCCCGCTGCAGGCACCCCACGAGAAGCGGGGCCGTCAAAAGTCCGGGGCGCGCTCGCCCAAGACCGCAAGGCGAACCCGGGCTCCGGAGTGTGCTCGAGTCGCACAGAGCTCCCCGCGAGGGAGGAGTGCTGACGCCCGCAGCATCGCGAGGCCGCGAGGCTTCGAGGCGTAGGAGAAGAAGAAGACGGCAAACAAAAACAGCATAAACAAAACCTTTTGGCGCTCCGCGCGGATTCCTTGGATCCGCGCTGGGAGGCCCCCCCTGGCGCGCTCCGTGCGCCAGAGAGGGGCCGCCAGGGGGGTCTCCCAGCGCGGATCCAAGGAATCCGCGCGGAGCGCCAAAAGTTTACGCCTCTGCGTTTTTTCCTTCGAAGGCATTCCTAAAGGCCTACCACGGCATGCTCCTAGAACCCCGAAGAAGTGTGTTAAGGACAGAAGCAATGCTCTCATAACCTAGGCCCGACGCATGAAAACAGGAGAGGCTCGGCCAACCATGCTCTAAGAACATCCCGCGCAATCCGCAAAAGGTTCTTAGAACACTCTTTGGTGGGCCAAGAGGAGACCGTTTTTCTGAATCGGCGACAATCTGGGTTATCCCGGGGGGGGCAGGAGGGGGCCGGCCGACAACCTAACCTTCGCGCTGTGGGCAGCCCTCCATATGCTCGCGCCCCCCCACCCCGGACCTGCACAACCGGCAAGGTTAGGTTATCCTGGGTGGGGGGGCAGGGGGGGGCAAGCCCGAGAACCCGGGCGATCGCCGGACCCTAAAAAAAACAGTCTCTGGGCAAGCCGGGACGCTTCGCCACTGCTTGCAGGGTGCTGCCGCCGCGGCCCCGGCCAGCGGCGGCCCAGGCCGGTGGCGGCAGCGGCGCGCGGCGCCTGCGACCAGCTGCCGCACGGTGCGGACGCGGTGGGCGGCCTGCCCGCCGGCAGGCGGCCGCCCCGGCCGCCGCGGCTGCCGCGGCCGCCGCCGCCGCCGCCGTCGTCGTCGGCCTAGAGGGTGTGGTGCCCTGACCTTCCAGGAGGGCTGAAAAATAGCGCCCGACTTAAAAACCTATCCCAAAGCCATTCTACGTCTTGGCTTCAGGACGTTTCGTTCAGTTTTTTAGGTGTTTAGGTCTCCAGTGCTAAAACATAGCTCTCTGGAAGGTCAGGGTGGGGAGGCGAGCGTGCCAGCGGGGCCAGGTGCCGCCTCACGAGCCCGCCCAAGTCGGGGGGGCACGTGCGGACCGGCCGCGGTGCCTGCCAGAGCTGCCGACCTCAACGTCTGTGGGGGAGCTGGGCTCTGCGAAACTCTAGCTCGTGAAAAGGGGGAGAAGGAGGAGGAGAAGGAGGAGGAGGAGGAGGAGGAGCTGGAGGAGGAGCAGGAGGAGGAGGAGGAGGAGGAGGAGCTGGAGGAGGAGGAGGAGGAGGAGGAGAGGGAGGAGGAGGAGGAGGAGGAGGAGGAGGAGGAGGTCAATTACTATTTCTCGTTTTTCGTGCGGGCACCCCACTGGCAGCTGGCATGGAAGAGTGTCCGAACATCGCCAAGCATTGGAAAATCTGTGAGCACGGGCAGCCGCCACGGCTTAGCTGACACTGTACTTTCCGTGCGCTGGGCTTCCTCGCTCTCTCCCTCTCCTCTCTCTCCCTAGGGCGTTATAATAATCAAGTGCTAACCAGGGTGGATCCCAAACTGTGGGTTAAGGCGCTGAGGTGGAAGCTGTGAGGTGTAAGCTATGTGATGAAGGCTGCGTCGTGTGAGCTGCGTGGTATGGAGCTAGAAGGCCGTGCGGTGCAAACTATGCAAGCGAAAGCTGCGTCGTGCATAAGCTGCGCGGTGTGCACTGGCAGTGCAAGCCATGCGGTGCCGGCCATGTGGCGGAAGCTGCGTCGTGGAAGCTATATGGTGTGGGCAAGCTCAGCGCCCACGAGCGCCCACAGAGCGCCTGCGAGGCGGCTGCGAGGCGGCCACGCGGCGCATCGCTCGGGGGCCCCGCCCAGCGCACGCGAGGCGCCCGCGAGGCGCCCACGGGGCGGCCAGCGTGGCGAGAACCCGCGGGGGGCGCCCACCGCGCAGGGCCTCTACGGGGCGGCGGCGGGGCGGCAGCGCGGCGAGGCAACGGGCCACCCGCCCGATTTTCCAGCGGGAGAGCACGCAGGAGGCCATCGTCCGCGGCTCTGCGCGGTGCCGAAGCTGCTCCGTTCTGTGATTTTTTGCGTTCCGCGCGCCCACCGCGCGGGGCCTAGCCGGGGCGGCGGCGTGGCGGCAGCGCGGCGAGGCCTCGGGGCCACCCGCCCGCGCTCCTGCGGGAGAGCACCCGCAGGAGGCCACCGTCTCCGCAGCTAAGCCTGACCTTCCAGGAGGGCCCAAAAACAGCACGCGACTTAGAAACCTATCCCCGAGCCATTCTATGTCTTGGTTTTAGGCTGTTTCGTTTCATTTTTTAGGGTTTCAGGCCTCCCGTGCTAAAACATAGCTCTCGGGAAGGTCAGGGTCTGCGCGGTCCCAAAATCTGCTCCGTGCCGTGACTTTTTGCGCTCCGCTGCCGCTGCGCGAGGCCTGTGGTCGCCGCGAGCGGTCCGTGGGGCCGCCGGGCGGGCTCCACGCGAGGCAGAAGTCCAGCTGCCCCGGCCTCTGTTCTTTCTCCTCCTCTTCCTCCGTGCTCCCTCCGCGTCTTTCCTCGGGTCTCAGGCTCTCGGCGGCGTCTCCGTGAGGACGAAGGAGATGTGGTGGAGGATTGGCACGCCCGAAACGAGCACAAGGAACATGCGTATGTTGCCCAGCAGCAAATGTCGTCCAAAACCGACAGCGGCCGGTGTTGGGTAGACGCCTCTCTGTCTCAAACGAACAACGCCCGCAGTGACGCCGACAGCGAGTCCTGTCCTAGATTGGCATGAGCTGCTGTCCGCCTTCGTCACCGTGCTCTCCGTGCCCATGTCGATCGTCGGGAGAGGACGAGACGAAGGACGAGGGGGAGGACGAGGAGGACGTGGAGGGGGCGTGTTTTTGACCCCGGCCAGTTTACTTGCATGGACGGGGGGGGGCCTCAACCTGAAGCAAGCCGCAAACGACTAGCACGTGCGGACATCACGCAAGTCGAAAGGCACTTGCACGCGAGCATTCGTTTGGAGAGGGGCGAGGGGGGAGGGGGGCGAACGCCATGCAAGCAAAGTTGCCCGAATCTGAAGAACAACAGGCTCAGGGCGAGCGGACGAGGAGTGTGGCGGCGGCGAGGACCCAGACATCCAGCTGCTCCAATTCTTTCGATGCGTAGGCCCCGGAGGTCCCGACAACTTTTCTAGGGCCAGTTTTGCGTCCTGAATGATTTTTTGACGCTCCCGAAGCCCGGCGAGGGCCCCCAGAGGCCGAAAACGGCCCACAACTGCCTGCTCCAGTTTTTTTGGGAGCGTTGGATCTCAGGGGCGGCCGAGGGGCGCGGCGGCGGCGAGGACGGAAGAAAACGGGGGATCTGTTGTCTCGGGCCCGTGTCTCTGGGCCTCTCCCACCCGAGGGCCCCAGCAGGGCAGGCGCAGCCAGGGGCCCTCCGGTATACCCGGGCCACGGCTGCCATTAGGACAGGAAGAATATATTGACACAGCGTGCTATTGATACGTTCCGGACATTCCGGGGTTTCTAACAGCCTTCGCGCGGGGTACACCTGGCGTCGAGGTTTGTCTACTCTGGCTGGCGCCGCTGGTCAGTCAGCCATTCGCAATCGAGTGGTCGCCCATAAAGGGCTATTTGGCAATTGCTGACCCCCCCCTCTTGTTGCCGAGCGCGGAGGGGACGGTGGCGCACCGTCCCATCGCCCGCCGCCGCGCACCGCGCGCCTCGGCGGATTCCCAAAGACCTGGCAAGGCAAAGCATGCTCGACTCTGGAAAATTCCCCGGGGGTAAAATTGATCAAATCTGGGAACATGTTTGAACAGTTCCGGCCTACTTTTTGAATTTTTCCGGGATCGTTTTAGAAAATTTCCGGGATCGATTTTGAAAAATTCCGGAATCCATGTTGAAAAAGTTTCCGGATTTCGGAACTCTTCAGATGTCCTGCGCGGCGGGCGCATTCCACCCCTCAAAACAGTTTCTTGAAAATTTCCGGGCTTCTTTTTGAAAAATTCCGGAACCGCTTGCGCGGAAAAAAGCGGAAGCGTTTTCTGACACACTCTACAATCCAGAAATAATGTCCGGGCGGTCCGACGGGCGCGGCCGGCTGATTCACGCGCCGCGCCGCGCGCGATTGGGCGCAGCGCGCGCCGCGCGTTGCACCCGCGAACAGCACTCGAAGGGGCCACCTCGAAAACAGAGCCACGGCAGCTGCGACTCGCGGACCCCCCAAAAGCAACACAGCATGCAGCTTGGAATCTTCGAAGGCGCTCCGGTGCGCGAAAAACGCACCGCGAACATCACGCAAAAAACCTGCGCGACGGAATGCGCTCGACCATTCGTCCCTGGAGCCCCCGCGGAAGAACAGGAAAACCTGGAAATCTGGGAAACTATCAATATCAATACTTCATGTTCCTCTGAGCCATGGCGCGCCCAGTGGCCGAGCCCAGGTGGCGGCTGCGAGAGGGGAGGACGAGCAGCGGGGGACGGGGGGGAGGGGGGGGGGGAGATACAAACGAGAGCGGGTGGGGCGGGTGGGGGGGGGGGGGGGGGGGGGGGGGGGAGGGGGGAGGGGGGGAGGGGAGGGGGAGGGGAGGAGGAGGGGCGGAGGGGAGGGACGGGAGGAGGAGCAGCGGGGGGGGGGGGGAGGAGCGAACGAGCCGTGGGGAAAGGGAGGGGGGGGCCCTGAGGGCCGACGCCTGCAGAAAAAAAAAAAAAAAAACACGGGAGCCGGCGGTTCTTTTGGCCGCTCTTTCGGCCACTGGGGGCCCCCGCTGGGCTCCGGGAGCGTCGAAGAAGGATCCCCCCGACCTTCCAGAGAGCTATTTTTTTAGCACTGGAGAGCTATTTTTTAGCCCTCCCGGAAGGTCAGGGTCTGGGCGAAGGCTCTCGCCCTGGAGAGGTGGTCCGGACCTCTGGGGCCCACGCGTCGAAGACATTTGGAGCAGCTGGAGGAGTCTGGGGAGGGGGGGGGGTACGAAGGGGCAGTGGGGGAGGGGGGAGGGGGGAGGAGCAGTAGGGAGGGGGCGATTGTGAGAGGGGGGGAGCAGCGGGGAGGGGGGATTGGGGGAGGAGGGCCAGCTAGGTGCGCTCGTGCCACATCTGCATCCTAGCCCCTCCCACCCAACTCTTCCCATGGCTCTGCTTTTTATCAATCCTCCGACTGACGACGCAGCGCGCATAGAAATACCCAACATGTCCTCATCGCGCTGTGCGCCACTAGAGAAGTGGAGCTGCGTACATTCGCGGAGGAGGTGGCACATGAGCAGGATGAGAGCAGGAGGAAAAGGAAGATGAAAAAGAAGGACGAGGACGAAGAGCAGCAGCAGGAGCTAGAGAAGAATGAGCGGGAGGACCAGGAGGACCGGGGGAAGGCAGAGGGAACATGAGGCGGGAGACAACGATGAGGAAAGACTCGGACCCAGAAAATAGTTGCCCGCGCTTGGGCGAGAGTGCCTTTTCAAAACGACGGGAACAAAGCGCCAATTTCTGAAATCCTGTGCAAAAAAACTACGCGGAGGGGCGCGGGCGACTCCCCAGATATCTTCGGGCGAGAGGGGAGGATCGTATTTATATTTGGAAATTGTCTGCCGACCCCCACTTGCCGGGGTACAGAGGCATGTGAGATGATTGGCTGCCCCCCCCCTTTCCTCCTGCCCAGAGGCGTAAAATCCGATTGGAAGGGCGGGGGGGGGCCCTGGGGGTGGGTGGGGGGACGAGCTCGTCAACGCACCCCCGGGGCCTCTGGAGCCTCCAAGTCTACACTCCGTGGCCCCGAGGATGCCAAAGATGCAGTCTGAGCTGGCTCAAGCTTGGCTCCGGCACGCCGAGGT